CTTACGCGTTCATGAGAAAAAGCCGCGACATCGCGCTGGAACGATATCATGACCTCAGGACATTTCGTGTGAAGGACAAAATGAGCTGGAGTCGGCGGATAGTATATCCGCCGACTCGAGCTCATTACCTATGGCACTTTAGTGCGGATGATAAGGAGTAGTGTCTTGCAAGTCACAAGTATATAAGATTATCTGTGCAACTCTGGTTTATGTAGGCTCTAATATAGCTGCTCAATCATCTGGTTAGTGATTCAACGCCCATCTACGTTCTTGTCGTGTCGAGATCAACATCCACACCAAGGCCCAACTCAATCGCATCCCGCTAAGCTAAGATATCTCGAAGATTCATATTAATTCGGTTGAACAAATGTCTTTTGTCGTTACTTCATATGGCGAGGAGACCATAAAGAAGTGCGGGAGTATAACTTGGATAAGAACAAAGACGACCTCTAGGCTTACATCCTCCTTTGATACCAATATAATACATCCAACGCTACACTCGACGGCTCAATTTTCGAATGTCTAAGACTTATCTGCAGGTGGATGTCTGTACAGGTAGGGTGTCGTGCAGAATTGGCGATCTCTAGGCCAATTGCTTCCTAATTCCTGCGTGATAGGTTGAGCGTCGAGGATAGTTGGTTATGATTGAGCTTCCCTTATGGTCAGATAGTGCAAGGACACTAAGTCTATGCTTAATGTTCCAGAGGCAAAGAATGAAAGGTCCTGCTCCAAATAAGAGTCTCGTATCGTGAAATTAAACGCTTTAATCCTTTCGCTAATGGTATATATAGATTCACGATGACTTCTACACAATTGTTTCTTTGTTCATAGACGCGTCTCCGGAGCAAACGAGCTTGTTTGCTTGTTTGTTTGTTTGTTTGCTCCTAGCCATTAGTCCCAGATCCTGTATCGTATACGATAGCGGTAAAAATCATAAACCGCATGGAGGACCTTTCTATGTATCAACAGGGGCTCCACTTGTCGTTTTGATAACACTAAAGATACTTAGTGTCTGCTTAGCCTTGTGGACGTAAAGAATGAAAGGGTCGGCTGTGAATAGAAGACTCATGTCCCGAAGTCAAAGCCTATCCCTTTAGTTGATGGTTCCTATAGATCTATTGTATCTTTTAGCCCATTGTCCTTTTATCCATAGACCTCTCTACAGGTGCATGTCTCTAAAGGTAGGGTGTCGTGCACAACTGGCGATCTCTAAGCCAATTCCTCCCTAATTCCTGCGTGATAGGTTGAGCGTCGAGGATAGTTGGTTATGATTGAACTTCCCTTATAGTTATGATAGCACAAGGACACTAAGTCTATGCTTAATGTTTGCAGAGATAAAGAATGAAAGGTCTTGCTTTAAACGAAAGACCCGTGTCACGAAGCCAAATGCTTTAGTCCTCTCGTTCATGGTCTCTATAGATTCACTGTATCTCCCGGTCTATTGCCTCTATACCCAAATGGAAATCCTGATCTATTTGCTGTGCTGATGCGCGCCAGGCGCATCGGCATTCGAGTATAAAAGGCTTGCTTCCCCAATCGGACTCTCCTTCCTTCTTCATCCGTCCCCTCCGTCATCTCGAGTGATGCTCATCTCCATCTACCATCTTCATCTGCAGTCAGTATCATCCTCATCCCCATCTACCATCGCCATCTCCATCTAACATCCTCATCTCCAATCTCTATTGACATAATGATGCAGGCCTACTTAAAATTTGACTCTACCATGATTCGGGAACACCAATCCACACATCCATAGGACGCACTGTCACCGGAGTGTGAATGATTCTACCGCTCTCTCAGAACTAGAAAACCTTGGCCGACTTGGGACAGGAGCCTCAGGAGAAGACGGGGAAATACGTGACAGATTCCGAGTACTTCGCCAAAAGTATGTCTGCTGCCCATCAGTCGAGCTTTGCGGTGCATTATGCTAATACGAAATAACAGCTTGCAATAAACCACTCAAATATCACCATAATATGCCGGTCGTGAACGCTGGAACCAGTGACCGTCCCGAAATCCTTCGGGAAGGACTTAACGGAAGAAGAGCCTGTAAATGATCGAGTTGAGGGAATCCGTCAGATGTAGGTTCTATTGATACTCTGATACTTTGAAGAAACTAACCAATCTCAGTTCAAGGCGACAAGCAAAACACCTCAGAGCTTTTGCCACACAGAAAAAACTTGGAATGGAAATATCAGAAATTCCCATCCAGCTCAGAGCCATTGTCGAGTCCCCAACATGACCATTGTTGTCTGTGGAAAACGCCACAACGTGCGCTTCTACCCTACCAACGCGAGGGACCCAGATAGAACAGCCAACCCAATCAACGGATGTGTTGTTGACCGCGGAGTAACCCGCCCTATCTACTGGGACTTCTATCTGCAAGCCCAGGCTGCAAAAAGTCTGTTTGGTTGGTAACTGGGCATAGCAATCCCTGATTGATTGACGCCTTACCGCCTTGCTAATATCTACTAGAAGGGGGACTGCTCACTTGCTTCTTGTTGTCCCCCCCCCGAACTATCAAAACATTCTCAAGCATCACGCTATTCTGGAATTGTTCTTGGCAAATGCCAACGGGGACTGGATTGTGCCGCCAAACACAATCGACCATGGGATCAGAAGTAAGCCTGCAATCGAGAGCTGGAAACGATTGATATCTCACTAATATTCATTGGTAGGCAACTACTTCTTCTTCTTCTTCTTCTTCTTCTTCTTATAGCACCAAGTGCGGACTCAACGAAAAGGGTCTTTCCGAGGGGGAAGATAATGATGTGTTACAAGCAGACGAGGTTTCAGAAGACCAAGAAGATGTTGGTCTGAAGGAACTTGTCATTGAGTACCATTCACCTTCTAAGTGAGCCTGTAACCATTGCAGACAATCGAACACATTGTAAGATTTCGACATCCCAGATTGATTGATGCCTTGCTAATATCTACTAGGAGGGAAACGCGACTGTCTATGGTACTCTTATTGTCACGCCTGGATGGAAGGAGTAAGCCTGAAATTGAGGGCTGGCAATGATTCCACAACTACGTTTAGGTATCTGTGAGTCGGTTCCTTCGGAGCCTTACTGCCATTTGCCAAAATGACACTTGGTGCTGGCGCCGCCACACAGAAAAAATCGGGAGCCTCCGAGTCAGGGAGGGCCATTGAAGGCATGATGAACATACGAGATGGGCGCATCTTCCTCAATTTGAATGTCAGTCACGGTGCATTCTTCCATGAAGGTCCGTTGTCAGAGTTGACAGGACGATTAGTGATAAGGCTTCAAAGCAAATGACTCACCAAGATTGGCCCTCGATACTGAGGTTCGTTCTCACAAGAAAGATTGTGGAGCTGGATGAATCTTCCTCAATCAATCAGTCGCGTCTTCCTCGTATATTCTTCCATGAAGATCTGTTGTCAGATATCCTCATTGCCTTCCAACAAATTTATGGAAACACCTGGAAGCTTGTGCACCGGTACCTGAAGCGTTCGAAAGTCCAAGCCCTGCATCTGGATTCTCGAGAGGAGGAGCGAGGACAGGCTTGTGCTCATTGCGGTACTATCAACTAGTTGACTCCCGTGATAACACAATCGAGGCCTGCGTTGAGATAACTTAAGAGTATGTCAGTTTCGGCGTAATCTTACTCTATTAGACGATGTAACATGAGGCAAGGAGAGCTGAAGTAAGAAAACGTGAACTGGTTGCGGTTTACAACGAACATGGAACCCCCGAAACCCGGAATGTTCGTTACGAACCCGTTCGAAAGGCTGGCTATGCAAGTTGGAAGCCTCACTATGCATGGATTCACCAACGAGAACACTGAAGCTGTAGACAATGCCCGGACGTAGAAACATCGGTGGGAGATGAGGTTTGTATGGAACGATGATGAAGAACGGGTAGATCTTCGACGGTTCTGGCGGCGCTTCTATTACAAAGACATGACTACAGTTTCAGACAGTGTTTGGGATATCGAGCCTCCCTTGAAGCCTACCCCTTCGCCTCCCCTACCACCTATGTCTGATGAGAGCGACAGCGACTGGTCCATTAGTTCGTTCGAGGAGTAAGCGTGAGAGCTTTTTTCTGCAGGCTTTTCTTTACTTTCGCGGTCCTCACTTTTCTAGCTTTCCCTCTCCTTTTACGATGCCCGCCTTTTTGTTCTCTGTCTCAGGGGTGCACACGTTTTTCAGTTGACTCAAAATGAAATTGAGACTTGTTCTTTGGATATCCAAATCGTAGAAAGGTAGCCAACCAAGTAACATAAAAATAGTAAGGAGGAAAGTAGAAAACATGCCATAAAAGAATGCATAAATAGTGTGAATAAATGCGCACAACATAGCGGACAGGGAGACGAGACTGATAGTCCCCTACACAATCAGACATAACGAGTCATAATCTGAATGAAGAATCTAATTAGGAGGTTGTCATTACTGTAGTAGATGTTGTTAATAATAAATGGATGGACGTGGTAGAAAAAGTTAGCGTTGTAAAGGGTCATGGGCTAGTAGGTTAAAGCTTAGAGGGCAAAGCTGGTGGAGTGAAGACGAAACAATAGTAAAATATCCTACCTACCTACACGATGGCTACTAGTTTTCTATTCGCCCTCGACCTTTACTCTGTGACTTTTACTATACAAGCCTTGGCCTACTGCCTTATCACCGTATATGACGCTTACCTTTCCCACCACATCCCTAGAGCTACTTGGTAGCGTGGAATAACAGGATTGCCATGTCGGCACTGTCGAGTAGTTGCTTCTGAGTATTACCGGTATAAAGCACTACGATTGCGAATATTATCAATGAGTATGTTGAACCCCTCGAAAGATGATTATGAATTTATTTTCCTTATGGAGTCTCGAACATATTAGTAGTGCAACCGAGTTCTTATATACATTTCGCACCATCACACACAAAACGGATAGTGGCATATACCGTGTAACAATTTCCGAAGTGTATTACAAGCTCTTTCGAGGCCAACGAGCCACATATGTACACTCTTAACCCCACACTTCCCAAATCAAACAGGATTCTTCACAGCCTTCTCCTCTTCCAATGAAACATCAGACACCGGCAAGGGAGCGGGAGGGGCAACAGACTTCGGCGGAGTAGGCGCGACCCAGAATGCAGGATACCGACGATGCAAATTATTGAACAGCAGCGCGCACACCAAGAGCATAACAGAAGACAACAGGACTACAGGCAAGTAGTACCAAGAAAGCCGCCAAATTTCCTGGCTGGTAGCTGGGAGCAACGCAGTCGCGCCAGCAGGCGGGTGGGTAGTACCCGTCAACTGCATAACGACAATAGCAATGGCCGTTGAGAGCGAAGCAGCCAGCCAGCGCAGGGACTCGAACCGCGTCTGGTCAGGCATCAAACTAAACAATTTGGTAACGCAGACGCCAATTAAAGCGCTGAAGAAATGGCCGAAGACTAGAGCGCGCGGCTGTGCGAGGGGGCTTTCGATTGCGGCGAAGACGAGGACTGCAGATGCACCCTGTTCTATTTGTGTGAGTGAATGTAGATATTTTGCAGGATGAGATTTATTCGATTTGGATTGACACTTACATAGGAGGCGATTATACCCGGTACATTGCGCTCGGTGAAGTAGTCGGAGTAGTTGAAAATTGCTTGTACGACTGATAGACCACAGAATGAGGTTACGAAGGACCAGAAAGCGATTTCGTATGTAGAGCGTGGCTTCACGGCCTCCGGGCGATAGCCAAGCCAGTGGCTGATCCACCGGGGAAGACGGGCGAGACGCGGAGTGGCCATGGGATGAGACCCGCACTTGGATTGAAGATTAGAGTTATTAACGGTTTATAGAGGAGATCGAAAGGAAGAAAACAAAATATTGAACAAGATTTAAAGGCGCTAGAATGGGTCTTGCCCAGGTGGAATTGGGGTGAAGGAAAAAAAAATTGGAGAAAACCGGCCGTGCGGAGGAATGAGGAGATCCCAATTTTTATGACACATCGCTATATGCGCAATTATATATGTCCACTGCTGTTCCTAGTAGAACACACCTATCATTACATAAATTTACACTCTTTATACATACTGCTCGTGCAACAGGTCGCGGCTGACGATGTGCGACTCGCCCAATGTGCCCTTCATCACAAGCACCAGGTCATCCACGGCGGCTAGGAACTTGAGGTATGCGCTGATAGCGACGCAGAACCGGCGGTAGTCCTCGTCACGAATCGTATCTTTGCTCAAAATAATATCCACCTGGTGCGACATCCAGTAATCGTGGCAACGGTTGAGTAGTGGCGTTGGCAGCACCTCGGGTAGAGGGTCACCCGTCTTGAGTGACTGTTCAACCACGCCTAGAACAGCCATGACATCGCCGATATTGTGATGGTCAAGGAGACCGGCCTGACGAGCTAGGCGGCTTTGTAGGTGTTCTGGCAGCGAAGCAGATAGGTAAAGGAGGCGAGCGATGTTCTGGTTGAGTTCTTGGCACAGCGCTTTCACCTGGCCGAGACGGTCGCTGTCAAATGGCGAGCTGGAAAATTCAAAGCGCAGCATTGCGATGGGCCCGTCCAGTGCGGCGAGATTCTCGGCGAGGTTTAGAGCCAGCTTCTCTGCAGCCAGGCCTTCTTCACGCCCTTGTCCCCAGCAGGATAGGAGAAGCGCATAGTGATCCGACAGTAAGCGGATGACGTTTGAAAGAGACTTGCAGACGTGTCCCGACGCAGACGGCGGGCGAGGGAAGAGCTGCACAATTAGCGCCGCTGCGGAGCCGATGAGAACAAGCACAAGTCGTCGCCAGAAAACATGATATCCCCAACCAGGATTGCCGTAAGCTGGAAAGTGTCTGAAAGTGTGTCAGTGTTGTTGTCCCACAATGTAGTACGGTTTGCTTACGTATCCTCGAAACTGTAACCAACAACCAGAATGCAGGTCGCACCGGCCATCATCATAGCTTGAAGCATAGCAGGGGGGGCGAAGATGCGCCCCCACATGAGAATCGTGAGCACAACAGCCATGATAGCAGCAAGACCGTACGGGTTACCCTCGCCGTGGCCTGAGCCAATATACCACGCAGCTAAACCAAGGACACCGCCAACAATGGTACCGATGGCTCGACAGAGAAGGGAGAAAGTGAAGTCGGCCATGTATATGACCAGTGTGGTCTGCCCCATTATGAGGGCCCATAGACCTTTCTCGCGGTAATAAAAACCCGCAGTATGAGGAATTGCAGCAGGGATAGCGAGTGCGATGGTGACAGCCACCATGCGCATTGCATAAAGACCTTCCGGGTTGATGAACCAATGATAGGTCCCGATGATAGCGCGCCCGAAGCGGCTGCCTCGCTTGACACGATACCCTCTGCTGATGCGAAGATGCTGCTGTGCCGCTTTGGACTGCGCCTCTTCAACGTCGGGGTCGATGACTGAGTTATGAGCCGCAACTACAGGCGCCACGACATTCTTTCGACGAAACCAGTTGACTGCATATTGCAAGCCCTTCGGTAGCCACAGACGGATCTTCTGACGTTCCTTCAGGAGAGCGACAAGCTGCCCCAGAACCCGCTCCCACCCGTCGACGACACCGAGCACCTGCTCTTCGAAGATCATCCCCATAGTAATGCCTCTAACTCTGGGCAATGTAGATTCGTCCAAAGTCCTGAGCATGCCTTTTTCGTCGAAGATCTCCGCATGTGTTTGAATCAAACGTTCAGTGGTTTCCGTCGCAAACGATGTGCGCAGGGCCCGAAGATTCTGCAGCGCTGTCTGACTGCGCTCGTGCAACTGACTGAGGCGCTCCTTGGAAGGGCGACCGAACCAACGCTTGTTAACAGTGTGAATGGATCCTGCAATGATCTCAACAGCTTCCTGACACGCCGGGATGATATCCTTGCTGGACTCGCGCAACACGTCGATAGTTTCTGACCGCATAGATTCATGTTCTGGGCTTCGTAGTGCTTGTACCAAATTAACACTCTCCATTAACTGGCGCATCCCAACCTCGCGTGAACGCTTTTTCTCATTTCCATCGACTTGTGAATCAGAGTCTGAATCCCGATCCGCAGTGAGCTGGTGCAATTTTTCTAGCTTCGCATATCCCCCGAGGCGGGCGAGATGAACTTCCAGAAGGGACAGGCTACTCATCAAAGCCTGGCGTATTGGTTTCTTCATACTCTTGATGTCTTCAGCGCCCCAGCAACCGACAGAGAAGTCCAATGGCAAAAAGCCCATGGCCGGCTTGAGACTCTTGTAAGCAGCAATGGTCTTCACCTTGATCTTTTGCAGATCCGCCATATCCAAGCCTTCACCTTTCAGGAGACTGTTCTCAGTGGCGTCCAGAGGCCCTTTGAGTAGTCGCACTAGCCCCTCCATGCCATCAAGCACGACATGGGAGGTAGATCGAGGGAAGAAGATAAAATGTGAAACCAGGCCCAAGCCAATTCCAATAGCGGCCGGCTCGATCAAGATCTTGGGGACGGTACCGTTGAAAGACGGAAGCAGCGGGCCAATAGTCAGAGTAACATCGATGATGATAATTCCGAAAATCTGCAACAGAATGAATTTGGGGTTCTTCGCCCGAAGACGCGACTGCGCAAAAGGGTCAGTATATCGATGATTATGCTAGGATCAAGAATTCTCACAATTAAATAGATAAACAGACAGATTAAGCAATAATAGACAGCTGTTACACGAGCGTCAAGCATCCAGCCGGTGTAGACAAGCTGCTGCTGGACAGCTGCCACGGGCTGTCCGGTGGAATTGGCCTGGCTGTATGCGGCCTGTCCTAGAGCTTGAAGCTTGGCCTGGGTTTCGGCCGCCGGTCTCGCTGCCATAGCAGCTTTCATGGCGACGACACCCCAGGCCCAGCCCAAAGCCATGCCAAGGACAAGGGTCAAAGTCCCTAAAAGGAAAATGAAGACAATGCCGGTCGGAGGTACCATAAAGAGTACCAGACTGATAGAAATAGAATTAGCAACTGATACCGGAGGAGATATATGGATGCGCTCACGTTGCAAAAAAAGTCGCAGTACCAATGACAGTTAAGGACGGGGTGATAAAGATCAACAGCGATGCGACCCACGCAGCTAGCGAGCAACGGAATAGCACCTTAAGATCGCGGGCATTGAAATGATCAAGCCATCCTGGTAGCTTTCTGCCGGCCTTCCGAGCTGGCGCTGCGTTTACGGGCGAGGGAGACCCCTCCCCATTAGAGTTGAGCGGGGACACCTCCGGCCGGGCATCTCGCTGAGAGGGTTCCGTTTCAGTCATCCCAACATGAACTAAGAAGATGAGATTATCAGGAGCATAAATCAGTTAAATATCAAGTGGGATAGATATAATTGGGCATTCCACGCGATGAAAGGAGAGACCTCAGGAATGAGACGAACAAGAATTTACCCGTCTTCGACCAGGGAACGGGTGAAAGCGAGCTCAGAAACGATCGGCGCTATTGACAGGATTATTTAATAATCACATGTAAATATAAATTTTACTCATTTTTCACGAGTCTGTATTTTGTATTAACACCAATAAGGGGGAAAATATCCATGGAACAAGATGAAAGAAACACCTCCAAAAACACTACCAAATGAGGAGGCCGTATAAGCATTAGTTATCTAGCAGAATCATGACTCTCCCGTGTCATGATCGATATCTAGCCTGCCCTACTGTCTTGAATTGTCATTAAATCCTGCATAAAATATATGCTCTTATGCCAGGGGTGATTATCGTGATGTTGAAAGGCGATTGGCGCGTGGGTGCGGAAGCGGAAGTTGTGAGAAAATCCAAGCCTTGGCGTTAACAACTTGTTTCAGTCCATAGGCCCAACAATACCACATTAGGTAATTGTGAGATATTCTGCGATGAATGTTAGTTCCACCTGACACTATTGAACGCCTCTGTCGGATTGGGCTGGTGTGAAGCCGCAAGGAGACAAGAAAAGGAGATTGAATGTGTAGCCCTATTATTGAGCGGGAGTTACGGAGTAATAGACCAAGCCCTGGAAAGCTCTACCAATTAATAACCTTAATTTATGGCTGCATTGTCTGTGTCAAATAAACATCCGCTAGAATGATCTATGAAAAGTCAGGAACAAAATTGATATTGTGGCCTTTCAGGCGTCAGTTGCTCGTTTGCAGCATCTTCTCAACATAAACCAGATGCTCTTTGTTTGGTATTCGCCCTGCTACCTTACCTCTGCGGCTCTGTGGCCCCCATGGCTGACTGTATCACCATTCAATGCGCAGCCTGATGATTTCTCGATATATCGTAGACTTGTGAGACGCCTGATATCATACTGAGTTCCTGTTCGGACCAACATAACTAACTGACATCCCTTAACCTGTTGACACCATGGCTATTGCTTAAAGTTATTATCAGGTCAAAATGATTTACTTAAAACAGCATATTGTCCCCAGAACTTGCGGACAAAGTATCCGATTTATATGTTGAGGCCTGAGGCAAGAACTAGAAGCCTAATATTCCAGGCGAAAAGCTTAAATTCTTGAAGCCCTATCCGGTGCGTCACGTGATGTCCTTCCATACGCGTCCATTTTTCTCGAGGTCATTGCCTCTCTCTACACATTATTGGTATATTGGAAAAAAAATCCAATTTACTGGCCATAATTTCTAGTACTGGCCATATGCCACCGGGCCTTGGGATGACATGAAACCAACAAACCAATGTGGAATATTCGCCTTCCATTGCGATTATGGCAAAGAAGAAAATGTTAGTCAATCGCCTCCCATAAAAGTGGAGAGAGGCCGAGCTCTGGGCGATGAAGCCCAATGAGCCTCCCCACT